AATATTGTCTTGGACCAAGTCGCTGAGGGATAGCCATAGTCTTCGGCAAGTGTTATTTTCTCCTTCAGCCCATTCTGCATGTTTGGGCGTTGTTTTATCAGATGGTTCAATCTGACTTCCATCTAGGTAGCCCCAGGTGTGTCCCATTGCGAATCAGAGGTTTATAGACCACCTATTCCAGTCATCACGTCCCTTCAGCTTAGCGATAGCAAGGACAGCCTTATTGATGGTTGAGTCTTTCAGAGGCATGGTATGTTCTTTGGGTCTGATCCAGAACAGGGGGGGTAATGGCAATTCAGAACAGGACAGCTCCTTTCTGTCAGGGCATGCCCCAGCACACCCTGCCCGACCCCCGCTCCGCTTCCCTGCTCCACACCGCTTCTCCCTCCTCTCCCTCTTCCCTTCTCCCTTCTTTCTTTCTTTCCTTCTTTCTCTCTCTCTTACATGGACCACCTTTCCCACTGTTCAATGTACCACCGGCACACATGCCCATTTCCCCTCCTGTATCTTACCATCCCTACATTGCCGCTACCGCCACCACACTCGCCCCGCACCCACAGTGGGCCCTCTCGGGATCTCCAGTGGAGGCACCCGGTGTAGGAATATAAAAGTTACAACACTAAAACAACCAGAAACCATCACAAAAAATTGGATAAAAATCATACAACCTCCACGGACCAGAAATAAAAATAGGAATAAAATCATAACTCAACAAAATGAATTGAAATAAAATATCGGAAAAATAATGAAGAACAGAGTCGATGGATTGAGTATCTACGCGAACTTTCAAGTCTAGGGATTAAAAGATGGTTCAGAAAATGAAGAAAAACAGCAAATAAACTCACATGAAAACAAAAACAAGGTTTCCTGTATCAAATAAAATATTAGAAATTCGTGGTAACGTGGGAAAATAGTTTTACGAACGTACGAAACGAATGACAAAGAGAAATCGGAAGGAAATCAAGGCATTCATATAATGAAAAATGGTCGGGTACGAGGAAAAGATGAAAGAATTGGAAATATTTATATGAGGAAAATAGGGAAAAATATGAATCTTTGTCGGTCTTAAAGAGTTGAAGTATAGGTCTGTGTACAAAAAGATTTCATGTTAAAATCTGAAGAATTGAGGGAGAAATGGATTTAACAAGATTAAAACACACTTGCAGTGAAGACTGGCTCAAACATCCTGAGTTTGTGGTAAAAACGGATGAGCTAGAAATGCGAAACTAAAGAGTTTGAGTCCAGGAACGAGGCATAATTTATCCAGAATTAATTGTAAGAAAATGGATGAGCTAATGCCAAAGCAATCTGGAGAACCTCAAAATTAAATCTTGAAAAATTCATATCTTCATAAATAATCCTCGTAGTTTACTGTTGTTTATACCGACGGAAAGCTACACTCTTAAGCTAACAAATAACCCCATGACATGTGACTTAGAATAAAGTGAGTAAACAAGGGTAAACAAGGTCATGATGGGTGTTAGGCAATGCAATTGGCTAATTCCCACACCAAAACTTCCAGAAAGTTCTAGAAGCAGAATGGGATGCTGATCGCTTACATAAGAGGATTGCTAAGCTCAATATAAGATTACTCAGCAATGTAAATAGTAAAGTGACATGTGAAAACAGAGCCCTTAGGAAAGGTATAAAAGACCACATTTTCTGGTCTGACCCCTCTTCCTTCTTTACTCCTCTCCCCTACGTGCTCTGGCTCATAGGTCATAAGGCGTCCTAATAAAAATTAAGTTTTATTAGTATAAGTGTGCAGTTCAGATCACATCTGAGTAAAAGTGATCAACCCTCAGTAAAAAGTTAAGAAGAAGTTAAGAAATAGTGACGTTGAGTCAAGTCGGTTGGAGTCGCTCCGAGTTAAAAGTGACAAGACAGAGGTGAAACGACTAAAAATAGTAGGTCTATAGCGTGATTTTCGTGTGGAACAATCAGGTAGACAAGTGAATTGAACCCTGAGAATTTCATACACACACAAATAATCAGTAACACATACAAATATCAATACACAAAGCAACCAAAACGCTACAGTGGTTGAGTTAAAGTACCAATACTAACATATAAGTATCAGAAGAAAGAACAGCCTTTTATAGGATTTCTGTTCTCCTCCTTCACCGGAGAGCCATGGCTGTGTGCGAGGGTGACATGGCATGCCCCACGTGACCAATCCCACATGTATATAATAACAGCTGGAGTGGGAACCAAAGAAGTAGCCTTCTTCTTACATTCCCACTTCAGGCAAGTAGTGTAGCCTTCCCTCTTAATGATAACTTACATTCCCACTTCAGACTAAGTGGTCAGGGACGCTCACCCTGTGATGGGATCACCGCTATGCACAGCCACTATTTGTCCCACCGAGTCCCGCATGCCGGGACCTCACCGCTTTCGGAGCTGTCCCTGACACTTTCTGAGCAAAGTTCAACAGTGCCGAACGACTACATAAAGCAGTGGAGTAGGACTGGGCTGATAACCTGTAACAACTGCACAGCACGATACCTCGATTAGTCAGATATGAGTAGTGATGGACAGACTTGCCTGCACAGCGTGATACCTCGATTAGTGAGGTATCAACTGCTAGCGCAAGTCTGGTCCTTATATACATCTTGTAATGATTCTACGCCACTGAGCTGAAACATGAGTGGTAGACAACAAATGGAAAACAATTTCGTGAAGACAAAGAGTTAAAGCGCGTTTGCACCTCAAAGCGCCCCTCCCCTTCCCAATGTGTGAATGTCTGGCCCAGGTGACTCCCTTGACCACCAGTGGCGTTGGGCTGCAACTTCTAACATGTTGATCATGCCCAAACAGCGATGAGAGGTCTGGGGAGTTCATGGACTCCGAGTGAGGACAACTCCGCCTCATCTAACTAGAAATCTACCATTGAACCAACTGATCGGAGGTGTTAGTGCCTCAGGGTTATAATAGGCTAGCTTGATCGAGGGCACATCAACATTTTCTTGGCATGTTTACTTAAATTGTATTAGCAACTGCCAATGGATCTTCATGCATAATCCCTAACTCCAACATGTATCAAACTGAATGAAGACCTAATAACTGTCAGGGCACACCTGCCTGACCTGGCCCCACCTCACCCAGTGCCCCACCATCTGCTCCTCCCGACCTCCCCCCTTCTCCCTTCTACTCTCTCTCTTCTCTCTTCTCCTCTCCTTCCTCTTGTTGGAGAATGGATATCTGTTCCCATCGGTATAGAGTTTAACAGCCTATACTGGCATGGTCAAACGGGCGAGTTGTGTAATGGTAGCACACTGAGAGGTCCTGGTTTCGATGCCAAGCTTGTCCATGATTTTATGTCCTTGTCTTGTGACCTTAACTGTATCATTCAGTTGGATCTCATGGAGTAAGTCCCGCGGGGCAACGTGAAATTTCTTCACCTCTTTCTTCTCTTCTTATCACATGGACGACTTCCCTTGTATCAATGTACCATTGACCCAGCTGCAGTGCAACGCGCCTGGACCCGGACACACCGGATGACCTCCCACATACCAGATGCTCCTGGGACCTCTTGTGGAGGCACCCGGATGGATGTGGCTGTGTGCGTAGATGACATGGCGCTTCCCACGTGGCCTTAACCACATGTATATAAACACAGCCTAAGTGGGAACTGAGAAGCAACCTTCTTCTCACACTTCCCACTTTAGCCTAAGTGGCCAGGGACACTTGTCTGCTTCGGGCCCATTGTTATGCACGCCCACATCACACCCTACCAGGCCCTCAGCCCCAGGCGATATACCCGGACGCTCTCGACTGCAGGTCGGTCCCTGACAATAACCCACCACTAGATCTCCCCACCGCACCCTAAATAGCACCAGTTACACGAATCCCACGATGGTATGTAATGATTGCTACAAGACCAATGATGACACTGCCAGTATTAATTGCCTAATCAACTCGGCTATTATTGTTTGAAGCCCACCCCATACATCCCCATGCCTGCCACCAACAGTCCTTATGTTTCAATTTTCAATACTGTGCGCGGGCCACGATATAACGATATTAGGGTTACAACATACCAGGTGTAGGGATGTACTTAAGGTTAATATTGAATGGGGAACCGGCCTACCTAAAATGAACACTAAAACAGTTGACCGTAGGGAATAATGTCAGGTATTGGCAGGACAGTATTCATCGGTGGCAATCGTAAGTCTGCCCTCTCATGGAATGAACTCCACCAGAGGTTGCCTTCAGTGCTGGGAAACTATCCTTGTCCAAGCCTGTAGTCAACATCTAATGGAATGGCCTACCAAAACTCTCACCCCGGTCCAAATTTTTCCAATACAACCTTCATGTCACCCGGAACCATCACCAAGCGCTCGTCCAAGCACCTATTACTCATCATGGGACTATAATAAGATGTACCTATAGGGGGCCCACCTGACCTACTCTCTTAGATATAGAGACGCTCCTTGAGTGCACGCACCCGTGCACTGGTGCAACGATCAGTACATAATACTATATATACTACTCTCAGGCCCGAAGGGCCTGAGAAGCTCCGGGGTACCGTGACCTGAAAATCCGGAAAACCCCTCCATGCCGCAACTCCTTCGGAGTTCACTGTCACACATCACCCTGCCAACGTCTCCGGACCCATCGTCACCATCATCGATGTCGTCGACGACATTGCCAACACTTATTTTTCAAAATCACTGTTCCCTTATAAACTTCACTAATACACAACTTCCCTCGCTTCCTTTCCTTTTCCTCCCATGTCACTCCGCTGCCACTACCAACATTTTCAACATTATCGGCATTGTTCGAATTTCCCTCTTTTTTTTTTTTTCAAATATCAAAATGTGAATATATGTGATTGAGCAAGCTATGAAAACTGCCTGCGAAGCCGTAAGTTGCCTTATATGGATGAATGGGAACATCGTTGATGCTGTTCAGCAGTGCGACTCTAAGAACCACAACAAACACATGGTAGTGAGGAGTACCCGTCCATCCATCCACCATCCATCATTGCACAGGTGTTACTATCCCCCTGCCCTCTCGTTGCCGGGGAAGGTACTCTGTCGGCGAGATTTACGTGGCTTCGGGTCTGCTGGCGCTTTGCGCTTCTTCCTCCTATCAGAACCATCAAATTACCTTTGCAAACTTCCAGAGAAACTTTCACTTACAAGTTAGTACCCCTACTGGAGCTGGAGCTGACTTCCGTGGTTGCCGCTGGCTCAGTCCCTGTGTGAGTGGCGCTGCTTGCTGGTGTGGCGTTATCAGTGTTCAAACCACTGAAAAGTCTCTTTCGGTTAGTCTTCCAATAATACTCCTGATGCCACGAACCTTGGCCGTGCTGGTGATACGTTATCTCCCATACTCGTGCTGCTTTCACCTGCAGCCACACTGTTCCGTATGCTGCTGTTAGGGCTTGATAAGGCATCATCACGTTGTTCAACGGTGGAAGGGCATCCGGAGACGGCATCATGGTTGATGCATGTGGCTTGTGACTCGCTACGGTCGCCAGTCTGGGCTTGCGCTGCCTCAGATTCTAGAGTACTGAGCTCTGCTTTTTGCTGCTCAATCTCCTCTGCCGTCAGCTTAACCCATTTGATTTTCCCATCTTCCCATCCCTTGACAGCCTCTCGAAGATGATCGACCACGGCCCTTTTGGGCTCAACTATCTTACCCCCTGGATAGTGTGTCATGTCAATCTTGACACCATGTCGGATCGTGAGCTTTAGATAATTCCGAGGCACCCACTCCATTGGAAGCTGAGTTTTCCCAGTTACCTTGCCTAGTATTGCGCCCAGATCAATCCTCTGATGATGTTTGACAGGGCAACTACTCACGTAGTTCGGTTCTTGTCCATTCTGCCAACTGGAAACGCAATGAACCGGAGAGTGCTTTATGAACCTTCACAACATCTTCGATCGTTTCAGCATCAACAGTGTAAAGTATCCCGATTCTTGACTCACTGCTTGTAGCCCCGACGCAATATCCCTCCATAAGCCGGGCATGTAACCACAGGGGCTCTTTTGCTACACCCAGCCAATACTCCTTTGCCTTCTCTGACGCCCACACGACTGGTGCAAATAAATCATCGCTAGACCCTTTTGCCATCATAATCATGACTTGAATTCCACATGCCCGGTTCACATTCTCTGCCTACGCCTTGTTATTCTCTCTGGGGACTAATGCATCTTGTTGAACATACGATTTGGACGAGCTGGTCTCGGGCATGGATGGCCATGCATTGTGCTGACAGTTCAGGTGAGATTATGTTTTCTTTTAGGGCCCGATTCTCCCTTTTGACGACAACACCTTCTAAGGCAACTCGTGCGTGATGTTCATCCATTGGAGTAAGTGGGTTCTTTATGTCATCAAACGTCACTTCTTCATTGTTGATGTCGTTGAGAAGCTCAAGGTACTCTTTGGAGTATGGGAGGTTTGGCAGCGCTTTCTCTGTTGTGCTTGGGAGGTTAGTGCATTTCTACATGGTTTTTATCCGTTAATGAAACCACGTACCTTGTTTACGACGTGCCTGCGCCTTTGCATGTGCCCAGGCATTAGGGAGCATTGGCTTCCGTACTTTTTTTGGTGCAGAAAACTTATAGACAACTTGCTTTCGTATCTGGTTTGCTGAATAGCGTGAACCGTGCCTAACAAATTCCTGTGCAATAGCATGGACTTGGGCATCAAAACTCTTCCTCAGCTCGAGAATCCGTTTGTTGAATGATGTCTGGACTAATTCTTTCCTCTGATTTTTTGACAGAGTAGCAGGTTCGACAAACGACTCTGTGCACTGCTGCTGGGACATCAAGAACCCCTGTGTGCGAAAATGTTGAGTGACGTGTTGGGAATTCAACCAGGGGCCAACCAATAAACAAATAAAGGTAAACAGTTTTTACCCTGTATTTGGCATATGGGAATAATCGTGCATTTATGCCAAATTCACAATAAATACAGGTGTGTGTGTTTTTTTTCTGTATTTTCTAGAAATTTACGGAGGGGGGGGGAACAGCAGAATCGTTTATCAATCATGCCCTGCAGCTGCCAGTTCGGCAAGGAAGGAAGCTTCTTCATACCCACAGTCAAACTCCGTCATCAACATGTTGCAGAAGTTGGTAATGTTGGTGAATCCCAGTTGTGACTTAAGCGTGATGATCTCGATGTCCTCCGGCCACAGAGTTGTATGTACATTCACATATGACTCAAAGAGTGACTGACTTCCTACCTCTGTTGCAGCCATCATGCTATGAGTACTAGTCAAACTGCTCAACTGAGATGATGACAATTGCTGCACATTTGCTTGAGTCAGAGGAAGGTGATGTTGGGTTGGTGCTAGATCGGTGCGTCTGTCTGGCAGTGAGATGTTCGAAACTGATTGCATGGATCCAGGAGCGGTGGTAGTCCCAGGGAAGTCGGTGCAAATGCTTGATCCACTTTGGGTTGCAGTAGGAGTGTTGAATTCCGTTAGGTCAAACGAAGTGGCGGACGGTGTGGCAGATGGTGTGGCAGGGGTAGTTTTGGCAGGGGTCACAGGTGCATGTGCTGGAGTAATGATGTCAACACCGATACCAGCATTGACTGCATCGAGCAATGGGGAACGCCCTGCGGTACCCAACCCGTGCTGCCGGATACTCAACGGACGGGGGGCAGTGGATCTTGTATTTCGAGGCAGAGACACTGTCAAAGGGTCGGGCAGTCTCCACTGGGGGGGGATGGGGCCCTCAGGGTGGTGTTCTGTGGGGTGGGGGGGTGGTTCGCCCCGGCGTGGTTGTGGCTGCATGCGCTCCGCGGTTGGTGTGCTGCTCGGAGCTGCTGGAACTGGGGTTACTGGTGTGGCTGCGCCTTCGTTTGCTTTTGGTATCTTGTCTAATATTTCGCTGCGCAGTGCTCCCCACCCTTCATTGTCTTCAATGCTTTTCGAGGCAAGTAACATGATAGGTAATGTTTGACCACCATAATTGATCAACATGATGCTTGGCTGCCCCAAGCGGTCCAAGACATCTGTCTATTTCCACAGCACAAGGAGTTATTTATGTAATACCGATTCATCAGGTTGATGACTCACAAATGGGTGAACCTCATCAAGCCTTTCCCTTAACCCTGTCAGGGGGACAGCAAGGCGGCGCTGTACCATATAACTCATTTCCGTGGTAAATATATGGGTTGATATGTGCTCCTCGATGGTTTTTAGATCAATTCGCCCCCAATCAGGCTTCCAGTCTGAAGAAGCTATGTTTTTCCAGAATTTCACACTTTTTTTTGTGTACTTACTGTGAACTTGATAGGGAACACTGAAGTCCTCGACAAACCTGTCGCTCACTGACTGATGAAACCAGTTCATCTCTTCGGTTGTCAGCCTGTATCTCACACGAGAAGTCCAAACGAAACTGTCAAACACGCGTTGGGCTATGGGACGCGTGTGTTGCAACATGGTTTCTAGAATTGTGGTAAGTTTTGTTGTCTGTCTGTGTCCGCTTGCATATTTACCTTCAGTTTTGGTCTGGGGCATGATGCTGAAGCGTTGGATTTTCAATGACACGATGGATTTTCAGTGACAGCGCTTGAACATGCCAGATTGAATTGCCGCACAAAAAGAAACTGTATAGAATGAATTGAAACTGTATGGCATGTTGGACGCGCTCTTCAATAGCTCAGTTCAATCTCTTGGTACAACGTCGCCACATTCTGTGAGTGCTGTTTCTCTACTCATGGGCTACATTTTTTTACAGTACTAGAATCTTTATCCTGATGCCACAATCAAAATGAGCGCGAAATGCTGTTGTGACTAACTTGCTAGGTCCAGGGTTGGAAAGGAATGGATTGGTTGCCCGGAAGAGGGTACGACTCAAGATGGAAGCAACCCAGCGAAGAGTCCTTGAAGGTGTGTGGAAAGCGTGTAGCACACTGAACCCACCAGCAAACATGAATTCGACAAACTAGACACATCGGCCGAAGTTAGAGCCGACCTTGAAGAACTTCAAAACAATGGCTTTGCCCTTGATACCGATAATGCGGATGACTGGGTGGATGACCCCACGATGGCAGATGCTGGGCTGTTCCAAGATGAAGGGCTTACCAGCAAACAATTCTTGACGGTAATGTCCTCCCTGTTCCCAAAACAGTACGTATTTCTTGACGACTTCTCAGTTCTTATTCATCTAGGACTGATCTCATGTTTTATTTTTAGGCGCAAGAAAAGTCACATTTGGGGCCACCGCATGGCCAGGCTCCACGCAGCTTGGGCAGAGCAGCTGAACGACCTCGTTGCCCTATACCTTGAATTCAAAACTACCAACCCTTCTTCTACACCATCTCACTATCCCCTGCCCCAAGACAACCTCAATTACGTTTACATCAAGTGCCTTGACATATTTGGTAAGCCTTTCCTTTCACCTCCCTGTACGTGATTAACCGATATTCAGATGGTAGTTCATTTGAATACATACCCAGGCAGGAGACAGACATCCATCCTACATATGCGCTGGTGCGTGCTGGCTATCTATCCCCTACTCCAACAGAGCCCCAAATTGCGATCTCCCTGCGATCGCTCGAACTGTTATACTCTCTTTTCCGAGCAGCGCCCGCTTTCAGTATTCAACATTTTACCCGGGTGGTTTCTGACATACACAAGGTAAGCTATTTATGGTGTTTTTCCAGCATCTGCAGCTGACTGCAAATTGAGATGGTATATCAGCCCTACTTAAGAACCCAAATCTCACTTGCTTTCGATATCTTCTATCGGATATTCTTCCACCTGGATAAACTCGTCAAACAAGCTGTAGGTCAGGTGGGGCCCAATTATCGTCTCAAAAATTCCTGCCCTGCTTGTCACTGTAAGGTAAGTATCCGATTTTGATCTAGCAAAGGGTAAGCCCAAGTTGCATCATCATTTTTAGGTTGAAGATGAGCCCGAACGCCCCATTCAGCTCATTGTCACAGCTGATGGGAATACCTCCCTCTCAAGGCTGCGCCACAATTTTGCCACTGATGCCCGAGTCTTTCCCAGTGACTACTTCATTCCCCGAGAACAGGTCAATAATTTTGCTGACACTCGAAAACATTCACAACGTGGTAGCCAGGTATGAACATTCCTCTTCCTTAGTTCACTCAGTAATATGTGCGACTTGTGAGATGGATGGCCCAGAGTCGTCATTTATATCTGACAGCTGCCTAGCATGGAAGAATGCTCAGCCAATGCCCTTGAAGTCGAAGTCGGGTGCCATGCAACTCATGGATGAGACAGGACTTTTCTCTGTCGTTTGCCGACATGGTATCGTCCAATTCCTTATCGACATGGTCCAGAGTGGGGAGTTGTGAGTAATGTGATGTACTTTGTTGATGAGAATTGACGTACCTAGCAGAGCCAAATATCCAATCGCTGCCGCTGATCAACTCATACGGACATTCAGCCACAACATTCTATTTGCATACGATATTGGCTGCACATTTTCAGCTACCCTTTCCAAGTCTTCCATTGGTGATATGGCACGAGAAGCAAAATTTAGGTGTTGTACTGGTTCTTTCCACGGTGCTGCTCACAACAGACTCTGCCAGCTCGATTTCCTCATAGGGCTACAGCAGGGAGCTGGAATTGAAGATGGCGAAGGCAACGAACGAGTATATTCTGAGAGCAACTCCCTCGCACCGGTAACCCGACATGCGTCACCATACTATCGGCATCTCCGGATTCATATGCATTTTGTGAAGTGGGATGAAACAAAGTATGAGCGTCTAGGTATGTCATCCATTCAATAAATATGCCAAACACTTCCTTACCCCTCACGAGTAGGTGACTTCTTATTGAACAACCACACAACGGCATGGAGAATAGTTCAAGAAAGCCTAGAAATCGTCGAGACAACAAGGCAGATGGACCCCAACTTTGAACCTGATGTGCAATGCCCACAATGGCTGGATGAAGAGCGCAACTACATATCCTCACTTCAGTTTGAGCCCCAAGATGAAAAGGCGAAGGTCGTGTATTTAGAGGCCACAGAGCATCTTGAGCGTGCAGAGTGGGTATAATTCTAGTTCATAAACATAAACATTCACAAATTACCTTCAGGGAAACCGTACGCTACTGGATAGTGCAAATAGCTGTCCAGGCTAGGCTACCACCCCAACATGCTGACCAACATTTGCGAGAGGCAAACGAAGCTGTTGAGAGCGCACGCGCCACTCTGGCAGCGTTGGGGTTAGCTCTACCGGCCATGTCTCGTACACGACCTTGGGTGCCTGGTTCTCCTGAGCGGCTTGAAGCAATCGCTCTGCACCAGCAGAGGGATTATAATCACCTCCTTGATGATCTCGAGCATCATGCAATATCGCATCAGTTTGAAGTTGAGAAGATGGGACTTCCAAGGACAGGTGTGTGACAGCCGACTTCTTTCCCTGCCCCATTCAGAGTACAATTTTTATTCCAGATTACAAGGCTCGCCAGCAAATCCTATCTTTAGTGGCGAAGCAGGGCAAGACACTTAACTCGACACTAGAGAAATACAACAATCTTGCGTCCACCATGGATCCCCTGAAGCCGAGACTCAGTTGGGAGGATGTAACCAGCCTCGAGTTCATATCAGATATCGTGATTTTACGGGGCCGTGACGATGTACGTGAGAAACCATGGGCAAAGCCCCTTCTCCGCAAGGCCACCCGAGCTTGGCATAAGCTTCAACGAGCCCGTGAAGAGATTGACACTGTCAGACTTGAAGCTCGTCGGGTATGGACCTCGATGGAAAATGAGGAGGCTTGGCTGCGAGGTGCCATTGAGAACACTCGATCGACCAATCCCGCTCTGGCAAGATATATTTCCGCTACTTCCCAATACTGCCTCAACGTCAATGTGCACCTACGTTCCAAACTCGCCCAGCTGGATAAGCTCGCACATTTTTTAACTGGTGATGGGGAAGGGACAACGAGCGGACCACCAGCGAGCCCTGACACTTGTGGCAGCCCAGAAAACATGAATAGCAACCCACCAAACAGTAAGTGTATCCATTAGGGCATTTGTAATGGTTCTGACCATTCTATTAGTACCACCCAATGAAACCCCCTCCACGACACTGCCCAGCTCAACCACCAATCTCATACCCTCTGATGATATCGACGGTGGGATGGCGGATGGGGGGCTGGAAACTGAGAATGAGGAGGTTGAGGAGTCTCATTGCCTGATCGGTCGAATCGCCAGTGCTTTGGAGAGCCTTGATTTAAACTTTGTCTGAAGGACTTTATTATGCCATGTATTTACATAGTACCTAGTTCGGAAAATGGCAAGGACGGCAAAGACGAAGCCAATGCCGACGAAATGAAAAGGAAAGGAAGTGAGGGAAGTTGTGTATTAGTGAAGTTTATAAGGGAACAGTGATTTTGAAAAATAAGTGTTGGCAATGTCGTTGATGACATCGATGACGGTGACGATGGGTCCGGAGACGTTGGCAGGGTGATGTGTGACGGTGAACTCCGAAGGAGTTGCGGCATGGAGGGGTTTTCCGGATTTTCAGGTCACGGTACCCCGGAGCTTCTCAGGCCCTTCGGGCCTGAGAGTAGTATATATAGTATTATGTACTGATCGTTGCACCAGTGCACGGGTGCGTGCACTCAAGGAG